ACCTAAATAGTACCAGTGTTCACATGCTAGATATGCTGATAGAGAGACAGGAGACTCACAGGCGAAGAGCTGGCTTTTAACAATGTGATGTTAAGAATAAATTTAGTTAAACATTTAGCACAGTTTTATAATTAGGCATTACAAATATGACCAAACGCATATTGTGGCAAGAAATAGCCTTTAAATCTCAAAGCTGTAGTTCTATACATATTTTGAAAGTCATAGTGCTTATAGGGTAGATATAATCCGATAGGCCAATAAGCAAAAACACTGGTGTGCAAGTCCAGGCGTTTTTTTTAAAACCTCACCCCAACATGTTGTCCCTGATTCTACTAAACACATAGAAATTGAGTATGTAAAGTTCAGAATTTAAAAAGAAAAGGCAGCTTAAAATTTCACCAACAATATCTACCAGAAGAGTCTAGTCTAATTTAATAAAAACAAATGAAACAAGTAGGAGCTAAATGGTGTCAGCTAAATGTCAACAGTATCATTTTATTTGAAAGCAAAGCAGACACACAATCTTGGTCTGCACAAAGAAACTTTAGAGTGATGCTTGAGATCAGCCAGCGGAAAGATCCCACACCCACGTACAGTCTCACACCCTGAATGATTTTCCACTCCGTTTTTATTGTCAGCCCAACGTGAGTAAAGCAATTTGGATTATAAGGCAGACTGACTGTGCGAGCGAGTCGATGAAAGCGCGTAGCACGCATGAGGTCACCGCTCTGCCCCTCTCCCATCAACAGCAACAAAAAAAAAAAAAGTTGGGCTTCTAATTGGCTGGGAGACTGTTAAAATACAAAAACGGGCTGTGAGTCACACGCCTGATGGGAAAGACACAATTAGCCAAACTTGAAATGTTTGAGTTATTGTCGGGGAGGCAAATAAATCTTGAGGCGGGCTGCGGTCTAAGTGGTAAAATAAAGGCAGTGAAACTTGCTCTAAATATGTCTACGCGAGAATGTGTCTCACAATTACCTTGAGAGCTCTGCATGTCCTGATAATGCTCGTGCACGGACTGGAAGTTGCAGGACTGGGGCCGGGGCTGAACAGAGAGATGCGTTTAAATACAAATAAGTGACAGCATAAAAAATAAGGAAGCGAGCGAATGTGACAGATTTAGACGTAAAATCATCTTCTGTGACAATTTTAGCCGAGCCATTGTCTGGTCTGCTGGGAAGAGGAAGCAGAAATTACTGCCGTCTTTGTCTCACTGGGAGCAACACCCTTAATAACTTTTAAGACCAACCCACATTCAAGCCGAGGCTGGAAGAGCCACGGCTTACTGTGCATCCCTTTTCTAAATAAACTATTTCATTCTCTCTCTTCTCACTTATAAACAGTCATTAATTAGCAATAAATGGAAATTACTGGTATACCAGAGACAGGCGATGAGTCCATGTGGGTCTCCTTCTGATCGGCGCAGGAGAGTGAGTGGGCCTGCACAGAAAACCAACAACATAAATGATGATTCAACAAGAAAACAGAGCAATGAACTCTATTACAATAAGAAGAAAAATAATAATATTAAAGCGTTTTGTAAACACCTCTGTAAAATCAATTTATTAACAACACTGCAATATAAAGTGCTGGAAACTTTTATTGGCATCCATGGTAAGAAAATGTAAAAAAAATAAAAATAAAAATTCACACTGAAAATTTTAGACAAAATTTCTTTCTACGCTTTTTCGAACTGGATATGGAAATTTTGTTTTTTTGTTCAACACTTATGATTTTTTTGTTGTTGTTGTTGTTTTCTTCTTAATTCTTAATATTTAATTTTTTTTTCTCTGACATTTTACTTGTTTGTAATAAATAAACATTTCATTTCAAAAACACTCATTTTTTTCCCCACTATTTCTGTTGATTTAATTTTGGTTGACATTTCTAGCAGAGGCCACCAGAAGGTGCTTGAAGAATTCAAGGCACCAAGAACTTTAGCAAGTTCCTCGGGGCCCGTAGAGCCACGGACCTTCCACCGTACTTAAGAACTTTCCTACGTTGTTCATTACTTGTGCCAAAGAACACGTCGTTCTCATCTGACCGAAGAACGACATTCCAGCTCATCCCAGTAAAGCTTTAGGAAACTCCATGTTAACATTTCTGAAGGTAGAACATGAACTGTCACCCCAAATCAGCCAGCAGGCATGATAAAAACAGCATTTAATGGTTGTTATGGAAACGTTTTGTTGCAGTTTCCTAACAGCGAGTTTTAGTGATTTATTTCTACCTCCTTGCTCACTGTGTACAGTCATAAGATAAATATGGGCCTTGGCCAGCCTGTTAGCCAGAAATATTGGCTTATGCATCATGTTCTACCCCACGAAAACTTAAAGTGATTAATTACTAATTCGAATTTCCTTGGATTTTCCCCCAGCTGGATAACTTTACCCAAAGTAAACAATGGGTTTTTCCACATGTCTCACTGTGAGATTATGTCACTGCAATAAAAGGTTAATTCATTTTAAGGATTTATAGAGATCTTTAACAGAGCCAGCAAAAAAATAAATAAATAAAAAATGTAGTTGGCACCGTACTACATTTAGCCATTACATAACCTTAAAAAAGGTTCCTGCGCTCGGTTCTACAATGGCCTTTTGCTCGGCCTCGAGACTTACTCTGTGCAGATTTTGTTTTGTTTGTAGAATTTGTGTCTGGCCGTGAAAAGACGAGCAATGTACTTGGCCATTTCCATATCCTCCTGCAGATACACACACACATGCACACACAGGAAGGACAAACACTTTAAAGAACATCAACCAACACAGCACTTATTGGAAATCACCCACCCCCCCACATCTGCAGATGTAACCTTCCACCTCCTAGGATGTGTTTTGTGTATGAATACCAAGAGCACCTGCAGACACAACACTCACCATGTGAAAATTGATGGTGTCGTCTCTGCTCGTTATCTCCACTGTGATGGCTGACTTGTTGTGTGCTATGGTACCGATGTCCTTCCACCTGTTGCACGCGTGGAAGTACATCCAAAAGAAGGAATGGCGAAAGAAAGGGAAACACATTTTTTACCACTTGGATTTTGTGCATTTAAACCAGCAGCATGGCTTTCTGAAAGACGGGTTCTGAATCGGTGCAAAATATGCAAAAAAAAATTTTTTTTTTAAATAAAAGAAAAAAGGGGAGGACACTAACTTGTGGAGCATGATGGATCTGCCATTTCTGTGTTTGACGAACACTCCAACAAAAGACATGCCAATGAAAATGTCGTTTGTGTAGTTGTCCTGCAGGAAAAAGAAGAAATTTGATATGATAAGAACACAGTCAAGAATTACTTCTAATAAAGTTTTTTTTTTTTTTTCTACATATGTTTGGTTTTATAGCCACCTTTGCAGGAAAACTCTCCTGGCCAAAACCGTCCAGTTTTTCCACCTCTTTGATGTACAAAAGTTCTGCTTCAGCTGGTGGCCTCCCGCTTTATGGTAGAAACAAAGCATAAGACAGAACCGTCCCTGTTTTTAGGTCAGGCTTTTACAGTCACTAATCTTCAGAATAAATGTCATTCATTTCCAGTCTTTTCTGAGGGGTGAATTGATCAAACATCAATTAACATAAATGCATTTCACCCAACATCGTAATTATACGTGTGGCTCAGATACATAAATACATATTGTAGTTGGATGATAGTCACTCACTGCATATTGGATCAATTTGATCATCAGAAATGGTAAAACTAATTTAACCTGACTGATTTCCAGGCACACACCCCATACTTAAAGCAGAGCCAATAAATTTACAATAGCACTGAGTCAAAGTCAATCCAGATGCTTAGCATGCTCTTTTATTTTTGCAAAACAAGACATGATGGTTGTTTGTGATTTCTGCCCGGTTGGAACATGCAACTCTGTCAGAGTTTCAAACTGGAAGCTGTTGCTCTTCCACTTGCAGTAGAGAAGATATACAATAAGTTTTAGCCTTTGTTGTTTATTATCTAAGTCGAACATTTTGGGTTATATGGATGAAACTTTGGCACACCTAGCACAGTGACCCCAAAAATGTCCCAAAGCATTGAACTGCATGTAAATCTCTAACCGGAACTGTTAATACAGATTAAAATGTGGAAATGTGTACCAGTGACTCTTATGCTCCTCAGCAACTTTCTTAGTCCACTCCTCCAGCACTTCATCCCCATTGGGCCAGTTCTACAAGGAAAAAACAAAGGCAAACAAAACAGCAAATTAGACAAAAAAAAGCAAAACTAAATATCAGCCACGTAGAGCGTTAGATGGTGAAGATCAGAAAAATCATAAAACTACTCAAAAAAGAAGATACCAGTGCAAAATGCCTGTGAAGATTCAACAACAATGTTTGTAGCTGCATTAATAAAAAGCATCTAGTTCTCATATGATTTCAATAACACCACCCACTTCAGTCGCAATCTAGCCTGTCAATCAACTGTGCAGGGGAGTTAACAGCACACAAGAATGCATGCCCTCAGGCAACGCATGCATGACAAGAACAAGGCATGCGATTCTTAGCTGAGCAGTAGTAGTAGCAGTTTGAGGACTCACCACTGGGAAGAGCACATACTCTCTGAGGAAGTCCTGAGATGGGAAGTGGGTGAAGTCTCCAAAGTCAGCTTCAAATCAGAGACAAGCAATGAGAATAATTTAGAGCAAAGCAACACATTTAATATATAAAACTTAATTTACGTTTACCACACCTTTACAGGCTAGTGTGGCAAAACATCCATGGCATAAAGTAAGAGCCTTCTTTTATACAAGGCAGTTGTATAAAAGTGCTGGAACAGAAATTGTGACTTTCTCATTTGAGATGAGACCTTCAGGTGATTTGTGTTTCATATGAAGTCCTAAATTTACAGCAAATAAAGAAGAAACACTCCTTCAAAAAAAAAAAAAAAAAAGTTGATCATAACAGTTTAAGAAAGTATCACATTTGATGTACAAAAGACTTATTATCACCTTGAAAAGAAGTGGGTCTAAGCTAGTTCGGCTTGTTTTTATTTTTTAGAATCCCTATTTCGACCTCATCAAGATCAAACAATTAGACACCGCTACAAAATATTTAGTCTTCATTGCATAATAACTCTGTAGTTTTTTTTTCTGTTTAAAAGCTTATTTTTGTGGATGTTCATAAACAACAATTCAGTGCAAGGTATGCTAATAATTTGTAATAACACATTTATGTTAACTGTTTTGATAAAAATGAACCATTCAACAATTTTGTATTGTACTTGTATTTACTGTAAAAGATAACAAAAATGTGTGTCCAACACATTATCAAAGCCCCGGGCAGCAAAATATCTCCATGACCTGCTCGTTCCTTAGATAGCGCTTATACTGAGCACTAAGTGCTGCCTGTTGGACAAAAGGAGGCCAAGTGGAGGATCTTGCTCCTTACAGATAAGAGTTTTCCTGATGCTATAACGCTAACCTTGGAGCTGCTGATAAGCTAACACTCTGTTTACATTCCCCCCTGGGACACAGACTGCATCCAGGAACAAGCCAGAGAGCACTAAAAGGGCATATTTGTGTGTGCATGTGTTAGGATTGATACCATAGGAACTCAAGTGGACTGGATTCCCCTCGTGGTATGCAGCCATATAAGGTAGGAGAGTCAAGACGACCCGAGCAACAATGAGTTTGCACTATCTTTCTAGGAATTTATTCACATGATTTTTTTTTTTTTTTACCTTGTACTGCTAGTCCAGCTAATCTTATCCCCCGCTCCACAGTGCACTGCAGATGTCCGTCAAGCACCTCCTTCTTCACTTGCAGATAATACTGATACCTACAGAGAAAAGAGAGCAAATAAAAAAAATTAAAAAAAAACATCTGATCAAACCTTCATTATGACTCTGAGGCTGAAAATTAATGTGGTTAATGTATAATAACTGGTGTGCAGAATTATATGTTATACGTCCAAATGTTTTTGGCTACGTAAAATGGATGAGTAGGGAAAGACAAAAAAAAAGAAGAAGCTTAAAAAAAAATTTTTACAGCCATTTAACAAATGCCAAATGTCATATTTTAACCTTTTAGGCCACCAGCTTAAAATATAACTTTCAATTTAATAAAAAAAAAATTTATAAAAATAAAAAATCACTCCTTTTGACAGATTATTTTTCACCAATCCAACCAAAACAGCTTTTAAAAAAATTGGCTAGATTACAGTAAATTCACTACGAAACTTACTATAAAGTGTGAGTAAAAGTAAATTTCTTAAAATCATGAACTGTCAAAAACAGGTAAGAAAAAGTCTCATTCACAGCCCATAAGTGAATACTAATATTACGAGCTACTATCTACGTTCCATTTGGGATTAGTGAAGTATTCTTGACTAAAGACATTCTAAATAGTACTTGAGAAATTTGACTCTTATTTTGAAAACAGAAGAAGTATTTTGTGAGTTGATGAATGACATCATATGACCATTAACATATTTCGGACAGTTTTTATGGTAGCAGATTAAAAAAAAAACAGTGATAGTGTATGGCAGACTGTATAAGGGTAATATTTACGGATTGTGTGAGTGCAGGACAATGATTAGCTACTTCACAATTATGTCGTGAAGTAGCTACGGTGTGGATATACTACACTGAGCTGTGAGCAGGGTTTTCTAATAGCACAGTTGCAGATTTATGAAACTTTTATTCCATTTGCCAAACATAAAGAGAATAATTGTATTGTTTTTTTTTTCTGCACAAAGTCAAGCTAAAATTATTCAAAACTAAAGCCACATCAAATCAAAGTTCTGCAACGGTTACAAATTTTTTAAAAACACAGCATGTGAATTGTAGACAATTCCCTCTATTTGTGTAAACTAACAAACCCAACTTCTTTACGCCACTGATGTAGGTTGATGATGTAGGTTATGCTACTTTCAACCGGGCAAGTCCTCGTTAATAAATGTTTAGTTTGCCAAAGCCTGTTTGTTTAAACCGGAAGCGCTATGAAGTTAATGAACAGCAGCCTTGGAATCGGTAGTAGCTTTAAAAGAAAAAAAACTGCGGGTAAAATAAATCCGAGTAGGTGGGTGGTGACTTATTAACTCTCAGAAACCCTCCAGACTTTGTTGGGAGTTAATGTTAGATTTTTCACCAAGCCGCAGTCTCTGAACACCAACCTATAAAAGTCCCATGCTGGAAACTCTGATGGCTTGAAGCGCGACACATTTATCCACAGAATCAGAACGGAGTTGTGTTTTACTGATGGAAGGATTGCAAACATGCGGACAGCACACACACACAGAAGACGTATTCTTCTGTTTCTGGTCGGTGCGACAGAAAGTGTGCGTCAAGACTATTCTGGCTCTCCTGAACAAAGCCAAAGAGGCCTGCTGCAGAAGTGAGTCAGTGTTTGAAATACCACTGACTCATTTTTGACTCTAGTGGAATGCCAAGTGGAAGCTAAACTAAATGATTTTGTAGCTCTGTAATTGTTCGTGGAACACAGAGCATGTTGAGCTGAGACAAATCTTTAGCACAACGCGAGAGAGGAAACTTGAAGTTGCTCTCTAAGGCAAACTATGACAGGTTTCACTGTGGTTTTGGACGGCGGTGGTTTCATCAAGTGTAAACCAATAAAATGACAGAGCTCGGACTGCTAAAGCCACGCTCTGCTATCAGAAAATGTGGTGAAATTCATCATAAGAAAGAGAGAGAGAGAGGGAAAAAGAGCCCCTAAGGGCTGGAATAAATAAAACTCCTAAAGCTCCAAGCTGCTTTCTGTCCACTTTTAGCCACCATCCTGCTGGAGGTTTGTGTTTTGAAGAATGAAAGTGGCCACACAGGAGGACAGGAAGGACCGTTGGGGCGACCCGGCTCAGCTGCGTGAAAACTCCCACAGTGTTTCCCATTGTGCTGTCATGGCACACAGGCTGCGTCTTCCTGATGTGGGCTGTGAGCCACCTTCTCCGACACATGGTCAGACACAAGTTAATACACAGAGAGCGACCAAGGTGATTTAGAAACCACACAGTCGCATGTTTGGTCACTCCCTCACATGACCAAAAATACACGAAATCCAGGATTTTTTTTTTTTTTTTAATTTGTAAAACTTTTCATTTCCCACCTCGCATCGCTCAGAGTTCATAAACTGTCACATCCTCTCTGCTGTTTCTTTGTGTTTCTTTTCTTTTTCAAGCTCCTCTAGGCATACTCACAGACCTATAATCTGACCCCGCCCTCCTCCCCTCACCCTGTCATTACACCCCGTTGGCTAAGATGCCATTCTGTTCCCGTGGCAACCCTCTAATTAAGCCAACCCCAACCACAGAGGAGGCTGGAGCAAACGGAGGGGGGCGGGGCCTGATGTGGTCAGGAAGGGGGAGGAGCCTTTCAGAACACAAAACCTTTCCAACGATTGTGGATTTTGTTTTTCAAAACCCCTCCATGTTTTCCCTGCAGTCTCGGTGCGGCGCTCGGAGGACGTTAAAGTCGGCAGCGGTCGGTTCTTTTCTGAGGTTGGATGGGAAACAACATGATAGTGTTTACTCATGGTTGAGGCCAGATGAATTAGATGACAAGCTATTGAAATAGCTGTGAAAGTAAAGATGTGGTCAAAAAACAACAAAAAAACAACAACGGTTCCAAATGGAGCGTCCAAAGGAAAAAAAAAAAAAGAGTGCTATCACCTTTTTACCAGAAGGTAAAAATTAAGATTGTTATCTCAGATCATTTTATAATCTAAAGAAACAATTATAATTGACAGAGGCAGTCATTGAGGTGACAGTCAAAAAAAAAAAAAAAATCCTAAACACAAATTCAGCCATTAGTGAAGGTTAGAACTGATCACACCAAAGTCTTAAGCTCTTTGAAAGACTAAAAACTTGGCCTGAACTTGCCACTCAAAGACTTTGAACTTGACCGGGACTTGGGAAAAACTACTAGTTCCTTTAGCCCCTCTTCAAATAGACAAGACAATAGAACATGTCAGGAAATGGCAACAAGAAAACAGCAACTCCCTTTGAACGCGACTACAGCTCAAAAATTAAGTAGTTTAAGCAACTGGAAGCACTTAAACTTGAGCTCTTTTTACAGCATAATGGAAAACAATAATGATCTTGGGGTTAAAACTGTGAATAGCATAACAACGTCCCAGGTTTCCTGGAGAAACCTTTTCTGCTCTGCCATTCGACAGATAAATCTGTGGAGTTTGGAAGGCGTTGTTGGGACTTTAATTGGAACTTTGTGCTCTGGACAGATGAGAAGGCTGAACCTTTTGGCAACACTCTAGGTCAGCCTGTCATAAAGGAAAGGATAAATATGTGGGGGGAAAAAAGCACGTCATGCCCACTGCTAAGAATAGATCAGGATGCTCTGGGCCTGAACACCTTCAAAATGCCAGGAATTTAAAAAAAAATAAATAATCTGCTTGTGAGAAAACAACCCAAAACATATGGCCAAAATCAACACAGGCTAAATCTAGTTTCTTTTACATACGTCTACTGGTACATGATGGGCAAAAAGCGATGGGTTATTGGATTCTTCAGGGGGATCGTGTTGTGGCAAAATATTTTAACCCCTCACTATTTCAAACAAAGGACCAACAACCCACTAAAAAAACTCGAAGCAGACACCTAAATTTGATTCAGTCTAGGAGCAGAATGGCACAAAGAGAATCGTCTGACAATTGAGGAGTAAACTCATACGGGTCATTAGTATTTGCCTAAATGGCCCAAACACACGCAGAAACATTACTGCACACGCTCGTTCACATGGAAGTCCCTTTTGGAATCTCAAACAGGTATGTCAGAATGACTTCATGCTGCTTTAACAGCTGGTGAATCTACACACTTATACATGAGGTAGAGCTTTCCCTCTTGGAGTTTCTTCCTCAAAGCAGAATATTCTGCTGGACGTCCAGGCGCAGTAGCAGGCACAAAGAGCCTTTTATACACCCACGCATGTCCAAGCCCCGCTAGTAAAAGACATGCAACCAGATGTCCGAGTGGCTTGGACAACAATCCTGTAAGCATGTGTGCATGCAAGACTGGATGTCAGTATGTGTGTACATATGGTTGAGATCCCCCGGAACGTCCCCCCGCCCCGCTCCTTCACTCCCTCCACCTCTGCATGGGTATCACCCTCAGCACCCCTCAGCCCTGTGAGGGTTTGTGTGGGTGGCAGGAGAATTTCACTTTGAAATGTGTTGAATCAGCAAGAGGCGCAACAGAGTACAGCTGCTGCTTGTGTGTGTGTGCGCGTGTAACCGTGTGTGCGTGTGTTGGTGAAAACTAGCTGAACAAAGCTTCAATTTCAAGGCTGCTGCTGATGGTGGCCTCGGGGGCCACTGGGGCCAGCTGGCCTCGCTCCGGTCAACAACTCTCGTTTACGGTCTTCACTCTCTGTGAGACGTTTTTCCTCCCCTTCACATGGGGGAACAGAAGGTTTGGACCACACACTGGCTGCGACCCGCTCTCTGAAAGAGATCTTCTGAGAAAAGACCCTCAACATATCTAATTGCAAACCTGGTCGTAAAATGTGTCGGAGTATTAAGGAATAAAGCTGTTAATCTTTCGACAGAGGAGAACTGATTTTCTATTACAACAAAAGTTCTGGTATTTGTTTTATTGTAGCCTGAAGCCAGGATAAATAGAATTTTTTTTTTGGTTGTTTTTTTTTTACTTTTTGTATGTGCCAGACACAAAAAAATGCTCCGGACAGGGATACTGATTGTGTCGGCAGAAACAACAGAGGTGACCAAATATTAAACTACAGCATCACTGAAATCAGGAAATAGCTTTCCTCTTCTTTCAAACAAAATAGTTGCTATAAACCAACTGGCTCCTTTCCTGTAATCTAAATTTGCTTCTATAAGGTTTTCGATTCTTTGAACACTTCTTCACGTCTTCAGTGAGTTCTTGTATTTCAGGCCCTTAAAACTGAACACCGGATCAATGTGGAGCGGATATTCATTTGAAAGACGATTTGCTTCCTGACAACGAGCAAAAAAAAAAAAAAAAAAAAACACAATAACACTAAACTAAAAGCTCCCACGTACTCCGACATGCCTTGCGTATTCTGCGAGCCACTCAGACTCTGCACACTCTGTCTACGGATAGCTGAGATTTCATAATCAATTGTGCTGACTGCCTACATTTCTTGTGACAAATTCCTTCACTTTCCATAATATGAATGGATAATACCAAAATTTGAGCACCTTGCCATTGACACCTGTCAATGTGGCATAAAAGTGGCAGTCAACGCTTGACCTTATCAGTTTGGTGTCTTATACAAAACAGTTTCATGTGGACACCATTTCTCACTGAGCAGTTTGCTGTATGACACTGTGTAAAAAATCTTTTTTTTTTTTCTTAACTTTTGCCAATGGACCTGTGTCTCATCATATTCATACCCCAGTGAAGCAAGAAGTAGTGGATTAATAATTAAAGGTTCCTAGAAATGTTCCCTGCTTAAACAGTAAAATATAAACTGAAAACTTGCATCAGTTAAATTTTCAGTCTTGGAACAGATAGAGATGTACGCAGTTGTGACACCAGTGATTTTCTTAACTATTCAAAGACTTTTATCTAAGAAAATAAATGTTCTCAGATTTTTTTTCTCATTTAAATTAGACTAGAGGCAACGTAAAACTTGTTTGTTTGAATGAGTTTTCAACATCTTTACCAGGAGTGACAGTAATTGTTGAGGTGGGCGTAAATCTATTTTTAAAAACACATCGAAATACTCATCCAATCAGCTTGCATGGTGGAAATGAATGTTTGAAAAAAGTAGAAATGATGAAGGTTGCAAAAACAAAACGGTATGACCGGGATTGTTACCTTTCCTGCTTGAGCTGTTGCTTTTCGACCAGTGCAAATATAAAGTACCTTTTTGTTGTTAACTACAAACTACCGGGAGAGTAAAGATTATTGTTAGGACAACATGGCAGAAATCCAGTTTGCTAATTAAAAAAAAAAAAACAAAGAATGGAAGAAAAATACAAAATAATGTATTCGAAGTGAACTGTAAACTAACTGTAAACCAACATTCTGTTAAACTACAGCTACACGCAGGCAGCACAGAATTCAAGTTCATGTTTAAAAAAAAAAAGCGTGCAGAGATTTAAACAGTGCTGTGGTTCATTTGTGCAGCTGCATGGAGACAGGAAGAGAGTGAGATCCAGTTTCAGGTTACATATCAGTCAAATCCTGCACTTCAAAGACCTGACCACATCAAAACAAGTCACATTACACTCAGCAAATTTACACAAACTCAACGCTTTGCTTTTTTAAAGCAAAATGGTTTTGATTTTTTTTTTTTTCCTGTGTGTGATTCACTATTAAAGTTTAAAGAATGTTTTTTCTGTTTTGTCAGCGGTTATTTAATAAAGTAGACCATAAATCCCGAAAAACACGAGAACATACAATTCTCACCGTCTAAAGCCAAAATTTACAGCCAAACTTGTACTCTCTCTGTCTCCACTTGTGCCTGTGTCACTCATTTAGCTAAAAGTCTACCCTCCCCTTTCCCTGAACCAGGTATCTATTTCAGGGAATTTGCAATTTAAAGTCAATCTTCAAATTGCAAGCTATCTGAAAGAATTGCACTTTTAGAGAAGACGGTGTTCGGTCTCGTGAATTCTGCAAAAACAAAATCTGCAGATGCATAAAAACAGGTTAATTGCTCTAAAACTTTTTCAAATTTCTTGAAAATGGTTATCATTCTCAATTTTAAACTCCCAGGGAGCATGTACGATCTTACGCTGCGCTGCATTATAGCTAACGCCTCTGACAGGGCTGCAGCTGGCTTCTTAGGGCAGTGTGAGAGGAGTGTGTGTGTTTTTAGTAAACCAGACGTCCCCTCCCCCTTTTATCCCCGGCACTTCTGCTGTGAGGAATGTGTGGTCCGCCTCCTACGCTGGACGGCTGTGCCAGCATTCCTGACAAATAGAAGAAGAAAAAGAGGGGGGAGGAACACGAAGGACGATGAAGGGACACTGAGAAAATGACTGAGAGCTATTGGCGCTCAACGTGGGGAGTTCTGCTCTCAAAGAGAAGTAAAGGTGACACCATGTTCAGGGTTGGCAACAAAAAGAGGGTGGGCTTAAAAAAAAAGAGAGAAACTATTGTTTCCTAAATTGTCCTCAAGCCCTCATCATAACCTCCGCCAACCCCTTTAACCCCTATGCACACACATCATAAAACCCTACAGGGGATTCCTGGAATACCACCCTTTAACCCGACTAACTCCTGGTTTCTGTGTAACACGAGTGTAAACACCCGCTTTCCACTGTCTCAAGCACAAGTTGCTCAAAAACAGCTCCTTCTTCCACTGAAGCCACATCAGTTCATGTCCCATCCTGCCTTTCTAGAAAAACCGAGGTCATTCAGCGCAAGAAATGGCTAATAAACAGACACACACCTTCGAATTCTCTCTTGTGTCAAGCCGTCAAGCTGCGACCTGCCACCGACCTATCCCACATCCAGTGGGGCAGAAGCCACAAATTCATCGGCTCTCCGCGAGGAAGAGCCGCAGAGTGCGAGCCGCCGTGTGTTTTTTCTGCGTAAATCAGTCTGACGTGCCAGACTGTCCGCTGCACATTGACCCCCGCGTGCACTCTTCGCAGCTACCTAACATGTTCATTCACAACCCTGCTAACACACTCCCAGACTACACGCGGTGGCAAGAGGAAATAATGGCAATGATTGACGATGTTGAAGCTATTTTTGTTCTGTGCTCTTGCTATCGAACAGAAAATATAGCAAATTCAAAGAATAAAGCTGCTCAGTATAAGAAACACCTCATTTTATCAACTTGCTAAAATATCTATAAAAATATGTTAGCAATTATTTAAATGACTGAATAAAAAAAAAAACTATTTGTTGAATTAAAACTCAAAGAGTTACCACAGAGGATTTTAATACTTTTGCAAGAAGCTGGAAATGTGATCAGGAACACGCTGCCACATATTCCTCACACAGCTGCAGATGTTTTAACCCACAATAACAAACAACAAAATTACAAAATGTAAACTTTCAACATTTGAACCATCTGCCCCCCCATTGTACGCCAAACAGCCTCATTGAAAGTCACACTCTCTTTGCCCATAAACCAGAGATTTATTTAAGACTTCTTACCTGGTGGCTTCTTGTTCCAGACGGGAAACATTGGGAACGTAGAACATGACTCCGAAAAACAGCTGAGGCTCATTGCCAAACTTGTCCAGCTGTTTCTTGAGGGGTTTCTCGAGTTCTACCCAGCGCTGCGCTGGTGTCTGGGTCTTTCCTTGGAACCACAGTCCGAAGTAATGGGTCTGCAAACCGAAAAGAGAAAAGAATAGAAGGTCGTCAGGTGGAATAAAATGTCGTGTCTGTGAGTTAACCAACCAGCCGTCTCTTGGAGTTCACAAGAAATTACACGGGCCTTACTCGCTAAAATGTATTGTCAATACAAATACAATACAAATATTTTATCCATTTCAAGCTGGGAGAGAAATATTTTTGTTATGGGATTTAAAACCAACACTGCTGATCGAGCATTGAAAACTATAAACATTTATCCTTCATTTTACATCTACTTTGTTTTAACTCCAACAACTCATATTATTGTTCACGTCGCTTATAAAACAATCGACCTGACCCGTATTGCTAATTTTAAACTTTTTTTCCCCCACTAGCTTTAAAATAACATTTCTGCGTATCATTTACAGAGAAGCGTTGACATTTATGTATGTGTGTGTGTGTGTGTGTGTGTTGTCACCTGTTAAGTCACCGGTGCCACAGAGACATAAACACATCTGTTTCCTCTGTGTTACTTAACCTTCCTTTAATAAAATTGCTCCAGCTGGAGGCATCAGCTGCCGCATACAGTGCTCGCATAACAAAGTCACTCTTATGTATACTGACGGTAAGAGATGAAGCGACAAACCCACGCAACATCCTGAGATGAAGTGCACAAAGGAGGCAGATGGCTGCTAAAGTTGTGGTGTTACACCCCTTTATTCATAGCATCGCTGACACCTGGCAAATACTACAACACTGTGTGAGTGTGCATTATTACACCACACCTCAGAGACTCACTCAAACACACACATTCATCAGTTTCCATCATTCTTCAGGCAAACGCACATCCGCACATAGCATGATTCTGCCACTACCGTGTCGCTATACAGACGGTGCGTTCAGGGTGCCATGCCACATGTAGCGCGTCACTTTAAGTTTCATCCCCGGTCAGTCTGGCGTGTTCCTTGGTCTTTATAGTACAATTGTTAATTATTCATTTTTCTTTTTTTGTTTTTAACAGCATGATATCAGGAGGACATGTAATTGTGATACTGTTGCTGAATCCATTAATCCACAATTTCCTAAATATCTTCCTTAGCTTGCAGCATTACATTTTCAGAGTTTTAGCATTTCAGCCACTAAAGTTAAGCATTTAATGTTGGCGTCATACAGTAAAATCACTCTCTAACAAAAGATTGCATCCGAGCAGTTTCTTGCTGTAGCAACGTTGTAAATGTTTGTTTGAAGATGTCGACTGCGCAGCTCATCAAACAAACCTCTGAGTCCTAAAACATCTATAGTTATAACAAAAAAAAAATTACACAATGATAAACCAGTCATTGGATAGATTCACTAATCTGCACTGGGTTTTATTTTGGGGATTTTAAGTAAATTGGACTGAACACAAGTGAAGGTCGAACTTTCCAGGTTTCTCATCGTAAAAACGCTTAACTCCGTGTATCGAAGCACATTTCAAAAGATTTGAAAACTTCTGACACAGTATAGATGAGGAAAGCATAAAACCCAGGACAGAAACGATGAGGGTTTAAAACCGAGAACTACAGAGGAGGAGGAAGAGAGGAGCACACAAAGGCAAAGGGGAGGTTAATTGTGACGAGGTGATGAGCACCATTTCTTTCTTGCGTCCTGACAAGAGGATGGAGGTAGCCATGCTTCGTTAGAGACAAACAACAGAGACAGAGGAGGGCAAGGAGACACACGCTGGGTGTCAGGAGCAAAGTGTGACAATCACACAAGCAAAGACAATAAGCCAATACTGTCTCTAACTAATGCCACATTATGTAGGACTTCAATTAAGCCCCAGTAGATTGCACAGATTACATTTTGACCTATTATTTTGTGTTTTTATGCAGCGTCAGAAAGTAAGGCACTGACCTCCCGCAGCTCCAGCCTCTGTGCCACTGCCTCCAGACATTCCTGTCCCGTACTCTCCACCGACAGGGTGCATTCAATCACATTGTTGTCCAGCAGCCGGATTCTTGTCACAAAGTAGTTCTTGCTCAGGACGTTGTAGCGCCGTGTGCGCCGCAGCTTCAGCCCGAAGGGCATGGCGGGTCAAGGCGGGGGTCGCTCAGTCAAAGGCCAAAAGTCACCCGAGGGCAAAGCGAGTGACGGAGAGGAGAGGGAAGGCTCTATGACCTGCCCGTCGCTCTCCTCACTCTCGCGCGACGCCGGCTACACCACCGGGCAGAGAGATGCACCCAGGCAAGGCGCTGGCCCATTCCCAAAGGTGTCCAGAGAGGAGGAGAACAAGGAGAGTTAGGACGAGGAGGATGAGCAGATGCTGTAAAGACAGAGAAAACACAGAGAAAAAAAAAAAGTCAATAACGACATAGCAAAAATGCGTCACATTTTACCAAACTTCTTTGAACCTTATTATGACTCTCCGAACATAGATAGAAGGAGCAATAAGCCTTGGCTCTTATCGGTAAACAAACTTCTTATCAAAACTTCCCACATCATGGTTTCCAGTGATCCTGTCTTGTCTTCTCTCATAAAGAAACAGAACTAGCAACAGCAGCGGAAGTAGTATTACATTGAACATAAAAGCTTCACATCGATTTATCCTAAAGCTCGACACAGCTTTGCTCTCCTCAGACCAGATCAGGCAGCGACGATAGACAGAGGCAGTGGTCAGCAGCTGCAAATATCTATCCAGAACAAGTAGCTTAGTTAAATATGCCACATCGATAAGAGCGATAGAAAACTTGTTCAGGGTGCAAATGGCAGATTGGCTATGTTTCTTTACCCGGTGGCCATGTGATCCCCTTTCTAATGTCACCCTGTGTAACTGCCCATATGGCTGATATCAAAAACTAGCATTGCTCAGGATACCAACAAGCATGATGTGATGAGCACGGAGTTTGTTCACTGAATCCATAGAAATCGTTAAATGAAAAATCCCAGAACCTGGAAATTTGTGCAATTTCAGTCCTTAAAACTCTAATCAGAACCCTGCTAAGCAGGTTAGGCAGTGACCGTAGCGACTTTAAAATACTTGATTTTAATTTCTAAAGTAAATATTTGAAAGATGAAGAAAGAAATGCACGAGAGAAACTTAGCAGATGTTAAAATTCAACACACACACACAAAAAAAAAGAATCCCCTGCGAGATGGAGATGAGCAGCAGAAAGAAAGAGAGAGGAGGAGGAGTGGATGTGTTGCTTCTTGTCCCGGGTTCTGGCAATGCGCTCCTCCTAATAGTCAGCTTGGATCCCGGCCCAGATTCCTTTCTGCCCTGACGAGGGAAAACAGAGCACACCTGACACAAGCATACACCACAAGGAGGAGCAGAGTGCGAGTGGTGTGTGTGTGTGTGATGTGGCTGAGTGAGCAGGAAGGAATAAAAAAATTAAATTAAAAATAAAAATTAAAAAATCATGTACCACAGCTTGAATGAAAGCTGTCAAGAACCTAAAAAACATCCGTGTTGATTGCTTCAATGTGAGCCACACTTTGCTTCATGCTTGCTTGTTGCAACAGCAGTAACCCTTCTGGAAGCCACAGCACACCACATTCCTGATCTCTG